ATGAGTAATAGTCCGTGCAAGAAACATGTGGTTTTTTTTTTTTTTTTTTTTTGAGGAACTGCTTACCTACTTTGTGGCCTTTGTGGTAATCCATTATAACAGAACAATATGTTTGAATGCTAGAACGTCAAATCAAGGAATTACCGCTACCTCAAATCAAGGGATTGCAGCTATATAAGCTTTCTTTTTATGAGTATATCCGTTGTAATTCTAATAGTTATTAGCTAGATACTACTTCTTAATCTTTGCATTAATTAGCTAGATATTACTTTCTATTATAACATATAGAACCTTGTATTTATACTTCACGTTCTCTCCTGATGGAAATTTCAATTGTTCCCAAAGCAATTAGATACTAGATACGGAGGCCATCCATCACATGACATCGGATCGAGTTCCGATCTTCAAAATCTATCCATGCATTCTGATTATATTAGAAATGAAGACATTATTGTTGGTGAGGTAAACAGAATTTCTACATCTCATACTGGCTCATCTACCATTCATTCACCTCTTACTTTTTTTTACTCTTGATAGTATTTTGTGTGCACTCTAATTAAAAAAAAAAAAAAGAGTCTTATCTGTGTATCTAAATTTTGCAAGACCAATAACATTTTTATCAAATTCTTTCATAATTTTTTTCGAATGAAGGATCTAATCATGGGGGTATTCTTGGCCCGAGGTCGGAGTAGGAATGACTTGTACAAATAGTCATTCGCCAACTTGCCATATACATCCTCTCTGTCCACACTGGTCGCATCCACATCAAAGCTATGACATCAATGACTTGATCATCCCTCACCACATATTCAACAACAAATCATAACTCGCCAAAAACTTTTCGCTTCTGATCTTAATAATAATAGTAGTAATCCATGTGATTTTTACTTATGTAACCAAAGTGACAAAATATCCTTTAAAAAACCCTCCATCACTTGCAATAAATCATTTCAAATACTCTATTATGATGTTTAGGGTCCTACTCCTATTACTTAATTTGACAATTTTCAATACTATGTTATTTTTATTGATTGTGACATTAAATACACATGGCTATATTATTTTAAATTAAAGTTTGAAGTTTTAGTATTTTTGAGAATTTCAAAAAAATTATTGAAAATTTCTTTCAGATTTCTTCTATTCGAACTATTTACACCGATGGTGGAGGAGAATTTCAAGTTTTTTCCACATCCTTTTGCCAAACGTTGTATTCACACCTGACCTCACCACCCTATACTCCCAAACATATTGGGTCAGCTCAACGAAAACATCAACAATATGTTGAAACCTGTCTCACTCTTTTCTACATAGCCTTTCTTCCCTCAAGTTTCTGGCCTTCTGCCTTTCAAACCCAACTTATCTCATCAGTTGCAAGTCCATCCTTGTCCTTGACAATGACTCACCCTTCCTTAAATTATTCAATTATCAACCATAGTACACATCTCTACGTGTGTTTGGTTGCCTCCACTACCCGTGACTTTGCCCCTATACCATCCACAAACTTGAACTCAAATCGTGCCCGTGCATATATCTCAGATTTTCCATAAAATATCACGTTTTTCTTTGACTTGATTCAACCACAAAAATTTTTTTATACCTTTGGAGGTGATTTTCTTTAAACACATCTTTCTTTATAAAATAAAATCTTTTAATGATTCTACTAATAATGATCATTATCTTTCCACATTATTTTTCATATTTAAAAAAATTGAAAAGGAAAGTCAATCTCTCTCCTAAACACCAACCCATATGCTGCCATTATACACCCACATGTCCCTGCCTCACCTTCTCTAAAACCAGTCTCCTCAGAGAACGGTCACTTGTAACTAAAATAACATTCATAAACTCAAAGCTCTTTTTTAATCTCCACCCCATCACATCCTCCATCAGTTCTTCTTCTCTACTTGCAAGACGCTTCTTTATCCAAGCCAATAGATTTCATCACTAGTAGAGGAAAAAATTTCAGCCCTTAAAAAAAAAAAAAAATAGCACTTAGACTTTAGTTCTTCCTCAACCCAAAACATTGTTGGTTGTAAATGAATTTACCGCATCAAACACAATTTTTATAGTTCCATTGTTGGTTGTAATTTAAGAACAGATTCGATCTTTACAGAAAGATGGTTGAAATAGAGATAAAGAATGGGCCACATGTATTAGGCTTATGGGGACTCAAATATAATTTTCAACCACGTTATAAAATTTTTATTTCTATACTCACTTATCTTGATAATGTTTTTTTATCCTATTACCTGTGTCACCTTGCGTGCGGTGTTTCTTTTCCTTGGGCATTTAGCTCTGTTTAGTTTTATCAAATGTGCCAAAAGAAATATCACCTTGCGTCCGTGTAAGAACCTTTTTTTTTTTTTTTTTTACCAATCAAATTGTAAATGTGGAATTAGATGATGTGTATTCCATTAAAAAAAAAGGGGGAAATATTTATGTCTTTTAACATTTCCAATTGCTTCTGTAATAATAAAGACCATTGCGGTTTCGACGTATGTCGTTACCTTTTTGAAACAACGAATGGGACTACCAAGGAAACTCTGCCTACACTTCCTAATGCTGGCTCTGAATCTGGCCGTGATATTGGCAGAATTCAGTGTCGCAGACGTTAACAAGTCAAAGTAACATCGAGTCGACGCATTCAAACTTGAAAGAGATGGGGTTTTCCGTATAAATTCTTTTGCTTTGCTGCATCTTTGAATTCTAACGAGGAAGCTTCTTCGAACCTTAAAGGGCAGCCATTGGAATTGGAATAGGGAAAAATCCACCTTCCTCACGCACCATTCTTTTCATCGAGTAAATTATAAATTAATCCCTTTTTTAAAAAAGAAATAATTAATTAGTCCCTAGTTTCAAAATATAATTACTTAATTTTTTTTTAAATTAATCAGTGTTGATCATAAATAATTTAATATTTTTTTATTTTATAAAATATATCATCTTTTCAGTAAATTTTTTAATTTTTTATTCTTGAAATAGAAAACAAAATAAATTAAAAAATGATAAAAATAATTAAATGAGAGGGCTAATCTATGATTTACTCTCTTTTGATCTTTGCTTTGCATTCTTTTTGAGAGGGACTAATTTATGATTTACTCTCTTTTGATCTTTGCTTTGCATTCTTTGTTTATTTGTTTGGTTTGTGATTGGTGTGAATGATATTTCAATCGATTTGTACATAGATTATAGATTAAATATTTTCATACAAAAGTTGATGAATTTGAAAGAATAATTTTCTTCAAATCAATTTAAACGTCAAAAAAAAAAAAAATCAGTTTTTTTCTTATACTATTTTAAAAACACATTTTCAGATATAGGCATATGATAGGTTAGTGAGAATAATTCCTCCTACATACACCGGCTATGTGACATTGGCAATTATCTTTGCTTCCTAAGCCAGGACAATACCCACACAAAATGATAGGGGTGACAATAATTTGGGCACATCATTTTTATTTTTGGTTTCTAAATCGAAAGAATTCTACTAGTAATCTTCTGGTAAAAATAAATGATGTAACTTGACGAAATAATATAAGTTCAGTTGCATTCTAGTAAGTCCCGAAATTTCTAAACAACTTCGTCTTAAATATTTATAATTCATCGAAATAATATATATTTTTTTAATTGCAAGGAAGTGCTGGAATTGCTAACTACAAACCTCAACTATTAGCCAGGAATTACTGTATTCATCACCACGAGTATTGACCCTCATACTAGAAAGTAGGAAAATCATCGTCATTATAAAGGATAGGTTTTTATATATATATATATATATATATATATATATATATATATATATATATATCATAAGACTGCTGAAGAGATCAGGAGTGGCCATATGTGGGGGCCACATAAATAATTAGGATGTATTTGATATTATAGACAGAACATGACTGTATTAGACAAAATTTGATGTGCATATTGAATAAACAGAATAAGATATGCAGTATTCCATGCACATGAAAATGATCGTCCAAAGTTGTTTCAAAGGCAAAATTTTTATTCAATTACGAGAGAAAAAAGTTCAATATCATTTACAAAATCTTTATTTTTCAATTTTTATTAATTTATTTTTAAATTTGATTGACTAAAATTTGCTCAAATTGATTTATATTTTATTAAAATGAATTATTACATGTAAGAGTTTGATTGCAAAAATTTTCTTGATTCAAGGATAAAATTTCATATATTGAAAAATTAGAGGATTAAAATTCAAACAAGAACTAAAATAACTATTGAAAAAAATTCAAGGATCAAAATGAATTTTATGAAATCTACATCTATTTTTTTCGCTTACCAAAAATTTTTTGGGTCATATTTATTACTAATTTACCAAATATTTTTTAAATTATATAATATTTGGTGTACATGCTAGACATGACAAGAATTATCCAAAATTGTTTTAAATACAAAATTCTCGTCTCACCATAGGAGGAGAACAAGTTTGTTCATTATTATGGAAAAAATCATTATTTTTTAATTTTTTATATTAGATAAATTTATCTATATTTTATTAGAATAAAATTTTACATACAAGGGTTTAATTGTAAATTTCTTCTAATATAAGAATAAATTGAAATAATATAAGGATTAAAATAAATTACTGAGAAACTTTCAGGGAACAAAATGTACTTTTGACTTCATCCCCGCCTTTGACTTGTACAGTATATCAAATATCATTTATCAGTCCATCCAACGAAACGCCAAATACCAAATAGAAAACGCAAAGCGAAAGAGAAACAGCAAACAGTGTCCAGGTTCATCCTCCCATTTTTTCACTACCCAACTCTTCGATTCCTATATAAAATCCAATGTCTCTCCCACTCTCCAACTCCAACCCAAATTCTGCATCATCATATTTCCACTTACCAAACTTATCTTTGTCATATTCTACTTACTATTTTTCCAAAATACCCTCGTCTCCATTATTAAACAACTGGCCTGAATAGAAAATTATAGAGAGAACAAAAGAGAGAGAATCGTGGTTCTCTCCATCAATGGCTACCATGTCTAGTCTCTTCACCAAAACCTCTTACCCTTCTCACTCTCTCCCAAAATCATTCAATACCCAGTTCAGCCCTACCCTCAAACTATCGTTTGCGCCAAAAACCCAATGGAAACGGGTCAGGATTCAAGCCGGGTTGATCGAGCCGGATGGTGGAAAACTTGTTGAACTCATCGTTGAAAAGTCGCAGAAAGATGCAAAAAAGAAAGAGGCAGTTTCATTGCCTAAAGTTAAGTTAGCTAAGATAGATCTTCAATGGGTGCATGTTTTAAGCGAAGGCTGGGCAAGCCCTCTCCGCGGATTCATGAGAGAATCCGAGTTCCTCCAAACTCTTCATTTCAACTCGCTCCGTTTGGAAAACGGGTCGGTTGTTAACATGTCGGTGCCTATTGTGCTCGCTATTGATGATTTGCAGAAGCAGAGCATTGGCGAGTCCAAAAGGGTCGCTCTTGTCGACTCTGATGACAATACTGTGGCCATTTTGAGCGAGTAAGAAATTTTTTTCTTATGTTAAATTTTATTCTATTTGCATGTTTGAGCTGCATTGGTGAAAAATGAATATGAATATGTAAGGTTTATATTTTTATATTTGTGTTTGAAAGTGATAATGAATATGAATATACGAAGTTTAGTTTTTAATGGTGTGTAACCGATAATGTTTTTATGATGTTTTGTTTTATTTTCAGTGATGGCCTATTTTTTTTTTTTTTTTGTATAGATATAGTTTACTACTAGTGTTTTGAATTTAATTTGACTAACCAGAGTGTAGATGTGGCGTTTGGAATTTGAATTTTTCTGCTTTTGGTTGTTAGATTAATTGAATTTGGTTTCCCAGTATAAAATAACACAACCTCGGTCATTCTTGGAGCTCATGATGTTGTCTCTTGTCTACTGTTTCTTTGTTAATTTGACCTTTATTCCTTTCTGGTACATAGTAGTAATATAAATCATATTGTTGATTGATTAATGATTTCATTTATCGGTAAATTAGTTGTTTCTTTCACCATTTCGAACTATCAATGCTGTAAATTTTGATTCACCAGAAGATTTTTTTATTCTGTTCTGAGTCCATGATCTACCCTTGACTTTTCCGTATTTTTCTAAATAAATTTCCAAGGTCTGAATTGATTACATTTACAAGAAGCCATATTAGAAATTAGAAATTCTGTGGCTTGTAAATCCAAACAGCTTTCAAGAGAATGTTTCCTTAGCTGTCTAAATTTTTATGATTAGCTTCCTGAGAATGGATGAATGTATGCATTGAAGCTGGTCATGCCCAATGATGACATAATATGCCCAAACCCTCTCTTTTAATTGTCATAGTGGATGAGGATCGTACAACTTTGAAATGACATGATTAAGCCTTGTTTATTTAGATTATAACCGTTCTCTCGAGCTATTTCCACATTTATTTTTGTTATTTTTACTCAATCTGCTGTCCTTGTCAAAGATTTTTAACGTTTTGGTTCATGGCAAGGCAAGCAAGAAAATATTTGGTTCATTGTAAGACATGAGTTACTTGCTGGACTTGTATAAAGTATGCTTGGATTTTTTTCTACCTTTCCCCCATTCTTTTATTTTCTGATTTTTCATTTCGTTCATGTTAACATCGAAGTTTCACAAATGTTAATTGTTGTTTCTTGTTTGAATTGTTTTCGAAAAACTAGCTGTTTCAATTGTACCTCTATGATTCACTATTGCAAATCCCAAAATGTACATGCTATTTCTGGTTGTTGTATTCTCTCTCATTTGATGCAAACTTGACTGTGGATGTACAACTCCTTTGCAACTGTTGACGAGGTCTCTGTGTGTTACCCTAGTTGATAATTGTCCATGCCTTGTTATTTGATGATGATGTCTAAAAGAATAGATGAATGAGCAAAAGTACTGTAAAAGCACCCTGGCTTGTATTTTAGTCTACTTTAGATTTTATTTATGCTTGTACTTTGTGCATATATGGTACTCTTTCTTTTACCGAACATGCCAGGACAAGTCCACCAGAAACAGAAATGTAACATTCAGTATTGTTCATAATTGCTGAAGTCTTACAAGTTAGATGATTGTTCTGCAAGTTTTAGTGAGGATATCCTGTGATGGTCTCATTTCTTGTCCACCAATATATTTGTGAAGTCATAGATTGTGTAAAATGATTTTACACAATCCAATTTATATCAATGATGAAGAAATTACTAATTGATTAACTTATATCCTGATTATTTATTTGTTTGTTTGTTTCAGTGTAGAGATTTATAAGCATCCCAAAGAAGAACGGATTGCGAGAACCTGGGGAACTACTGCCCCTGGTTTACCTTATGTTGAAGAAACCATAGCTGGATCTGGGAACTGGCTGATTGGAGGGGACTTGGAGGTTATAGAACCAATCAAGTATCATGATGGTCTCGATCATTTTCGATTGTCACCTGGAGAACTCCGTGAAGAATTCACTAGGCGCAATGCAGATGCTGTGTTTGCATTCCAGCTCAGGAATCCTGTGCACAATGGACATGCTTTACTCATGACAGACACTCGTAGACGGCTTCTTGAGATGGGCTATAAGAATCCCATCCTTTTGCTTCATCCACTGGGAGGCTACACAAAAGCAGATGATGTTCCGCTCAGCTGGAGAATGAAGCAACATGAGAAGGTATGTACAGTTAACCCTTTTTTTTTTTTTTAGGTCTCTACATGGATTCATTTACTGTTGAGTTATATTATCCAGACTAAACAAGGAGATGCTGGAACCAGAATTATGTTTGTTTTCCATAACTTGTACAGTTTATTCTGGTTTGAGACATTTCTTCGAGAAACATGTTTCCAAAATGGCTTAGTCTAATACTGATCTTGTTTGATGATGTTGATACATCCTCAGGTGCTTGAGGATGGTGTTCTTGATCCAGAAACAACTGTGGTTTCAATATTCCCATCTCCCATGCATTATGCTGGTCCAACTGAGGTGCAGTGGCATGCAAAAGCTCGGATTAATGCAGGAGCAAACTTTTACATTGTCGGCAGGGATCCAGCTGGAATGAGCCATCCAGTTGAGAAAAGAGATTTATATGATGCTGATCATGGGAAGAAGGTGCTGAGTATGGCCCCCGGACTGGAGCGGTTGAACATTCTTCCTTTCAGGGTATGTATCTTGTTGCAATCAAAATCTCATGATGTTGCACTTGTAACCATATAGAAATTTGAAAAGTCATGGTGATTGTAACTGGATGCAGGTTGCTGCATATGATAAGACTCAGGGTAAGATGGCATTCTTTGATCCCTCAAGGCATGGAGACTTCCTCTTCATATCTGGCACAAAGGTATGCAGCCAACTTACTTGTCAATTCTGTGATTAGACTAGGAACAAAATACGAGGAAAAAGTTTCGGACTGAGTGGGACAGAGGAAGTAACTTCGTATTTTTTGTTTATGTAATTATGATATAATTATGTCGATCTTTTTGCTGCATGTAACAAGGCTTGCTTGTATCCTGCAGATGCGAACACTTGCAAAGAACAAAGAGAACCCACCTGATGGATTCATGTGCCCTGGTGGCTGGAAAGTGTTGGTCGATTACTATGACAGTTTGACACCGGCAGACAATGGCAAAGTCCCAGAACCTGTTCCAGCTTAGATGGAGTTCAGGATTTGTTGTACCATACTATTATGCCATCTCACCGGGAGAAAACTTCAAAACTTATTCATCTCTGTCTTGTGGTCCAGTTTTTGTATAGATTCTCTGTCCAGACTCCATATCTCTAATAAAATCGTGAGGCACTGGAGAGCTGGGACAAAAAACTTGCCTCAATTTGTAATTAGATTGCCTGCTGTGGCATCTCGCTTTGGCACACTAGCATGTGTGCTGGGCGCATTGTATCATACTGTGGCTGTGCTTCTATAAAAGACATAGTTGGGGTGTGTGTTTGTTTGATGCTTTTGGGTGCTTGTTGAAAATTCAGTAGCCACAGCACACATGCATTGAAAGTATAGCCCAAACGAGGGATGCTCATCTCTTGAGCTCAAATTTCCTCAGGAAATTGCATCTCGCGTCCTGAAGTAGTAGACCTTCATCATTTCAGCAGCTTCCTTTCGTTCAGGTCTTTGCATCCACCCTCCTGCTTGGTAGGATCAAAACAAACCAAGAAACGGGTAACAAATGCGCTTTTATTAATGTTAAGAACATCAGGTCTGATGTAATGTAACAAAAAGAAACATGATTAACTAAAATACAAATCTAATGGAAAACAATATACCTTCTTAGGGAGTTATAAAATAAATACAATAAATAATCTATGATCTGTATCCTTCTTAACCCTGGGAGGGGTTAAAAAAGTAAATATATTAAAGAATTATGTGTCTTCGACGGTTTATTTCCTCCTAGTGAGATAGCTGAAAATTGGTTTCTCTGGAACGGGTATGCACTTGACAACCCAACCAATTGGCCAAGATTGTGCTGCGATTCCGATACATGCTCCCCATTGCCCCCAGTTCAACCTCTCTGTGTCTGCAAACTTTTTCAAAAATTCTACCATCAACACTTGTAGGAGAATGGTTATACCAATGATTCCCAGAAACAACTTGTTCTTATGGATCCCTTCGAAAACGTTCTTCTCCTCCAGCTTCCTTGCATTGAATTCGTTGAACACTTGGCAAAGGACGAAAATGTTGAAGATCAAAGTATCATTTACCCCTTCAGTCACTCCAAAGATGGATTCTCCCTTGAATTGAAGCGTCAAGAGGATTGCTATTTGATACAAAGCTTGAGACAGTAGGTTCCTCCACATAATGTTGGTGATAAGTGGCTCGGTCCTACCCACAGGGGTTTTTTCCATGAGCTCCTGGGTTGGCTGCTCAGTAGCTAGAGCCAGAGCACCCAATGTGTCCATAATCAGATTCACCCACAACAACTGGACTGCTGTTAGTGGCACTTCACCTGCTGAAACTGCTGCTACAAAGTTGATCACTAGAGCAGCAACATTTACCGTGAGCTGGAACTGAATGAATTTCTGTATGTTGTTGTAGACACATCTACCCCACCTTAAAACCGTGGCTACAGAAGCGAAATTATCATCCAAAATGACAATATCTGAGCTTTCTTTAGCTACTTCGGTGCCTTGAACTCCCATAGATAGTCCTATATCAGCTTCCTTCAATGCTGGTGCATCATTTGTGCCATCACCAGTTACTGCCACCACATGTCCTTTTTGTTTGAGGCATTGTACCATGAGAAGTTTATCAAATGGAGAAGATCTTGCCATCACACAGATTTTATCAATCTTCTCCATTCTTGTTTCATGTGTGTAATTTCGAAACTCTTCCCCTTCTACCACAGCTCCCCTGATATTCTCCGCACCAGGCTTGAGTATTCCACACTCGATAGCTATGGCTTTTGCAGTGAAAATATTATCACCAGTGATCATTTTGATGTTCACTCCAGCATGTTGGCAATCATCAACAGCTTTCTTCACCCCAGGTCTACATGGATCCTTGATACCCACAAGTCCTAGTAGTGTCAAGCTGTCTTCTTGGAGCCTTTTTTCTTCCTTTCCATCTTCATATTGCTCCTCTGATATTTGCTTGTGTGCAAATGCGATGCAACGAAGGCTACTAGCTGCCATACCTTGAATAATTTTCTTGAATACATCCCTTTCTCCGTCGTCCATGTCTTTCATTAATCCAGAAGCATCATAGTAACTCGAGCACATTGCTAGGATCATCTCTGCTGCTCCTTTCCAGTGAACGTGGATCGTGCTGTCCGCTTTTTTCCTGGACAAAACACCGCTCCTTTTCTTTTGTGAATTGAAGGCTTCGACATGGAGAATAGTACATCTCTGCTTCATTTGCTCCATGTCCAAGTTCAGTTCATGGACAGCCCAAGAAAGAATTGCTTTTTCAGTGGGACTACCTGAGAACTCAAACTTAGATTCTGGACTTTCTCTGTAAACGCTACCAGTTGTATTCAGAGCAACCCCTTGTTCTATCAATTCAAGAACATATGGAGAAATCGAAGAACGATTGCTCTCTTCCATTGCTTCTTGACCCAGCCAAAACTTTGTCACTTTCATCAGGTTCATTGTAAGAGTGCCTGTTTTGTCTGTACAAATTGTGGTGGCTGAGCCCATAGTCTCACAAGCGGAAAGCTTCCTCACCATTGCTTGATCTTTCATCATCCTTTTCATTGAATATGCTAGAGTAAGCGTGACCGCCAATGGTAATCCTTCAGGAATTGCAACCACAATTATGGTCACTGCTGCAGCTACAATCCCCACCACTGAACTCACTATATCATCAGACTTGGTCTTGCCACCATTGAACTCCTTATTCCCACTCTCATCTTGCGTATTCCCTGTGAAGTAGCGAACCAACAAGACTACAAGAACAAGAAAAGCAACTGCCAATCCAACCTTTCCTATTGACGAGGTTAGCTTATTGAGCCTAGCTTGTAAAGGTGTTTGTTCACCTGTGTCTCGACTGATATGGCTCATCATTTCTCCCCATGTTGTGTTCATGCCAACTGAAGTAACAAGCATTTGACCGTAGCCATCAGCCACCTTGGTGCCGGAGATCAGGAATGGATTTTTGTTGTGATTGATTTCCACATGGTCACTTTCACCTGTCATGCTGGATTCGTCTATTTGTAAGGAATGTCCATCAACGAACAATCCATCAGCAGGAACCTGATCTCCAATCTTTAAACAGACAGCATCCCCCACTACAAGTTCAAATATTGAAACTTCTTGTCGTCGCCCGCTTCTCACAACATCAATTTTGATATTATTGCTGATTTTCGACAACTCATCAAACTGTCTATTTTGTCTATAATTGCTTACAGCGGAGACAGCAATGACAAGAAAAACAGCAACAAAAATGCTGCCACCATCATACCAGCCTTCCTTTAGACCATGCTCTTTGATACCGAAACCAAGAGAAAGCGCTGCACAGCCTAAAAGAATGGCAATGGTAAGATCTTTACAAGCTTCCAATACAAAATGGAAAAAGCCCTTTGTTGGAGGTTTCTTATACGTGTTGGAACCGAATGCTTGCTGTCTGCGAGCAATGTCCTCAGCACCGCCATAGATGCCAACATTTATGTCGGCTCCAATGGAAGAAGCTATACCGACAGTGCCACCATAATTTTCAAGTTGGTCGAGATCTTTCTTCTTAACAAGCTGTGCAAGACTGGATTGATCAATCTTGAAGAGGTCACTGTCTAAATTAATGTTCAGTACAGTATAAGATGGAGAGGAAGAAATTTTGGTAGGCTTTTTGATCTTGGCAACAGGTGTTTTTGCCAGAGAGTATATGGTCCTAGAACAATAGATAGTTGCAAAAGCTAAATGCCATCTCTTGTTGGGTTTGCTAAGGGTGGCAGGGGCGTCAAGTAAGCTTTCAATGCAAACCAAGTTTGTATGCAGAAGGGAAGACATAATCTCAAAAGCTAGAAGAAAATGAAATGACAAATAGGAGACGGAAATGAGAGTTGACAAAGCAAGGATAAATGCAAGAACTTACAAGAAACAATGAAGGAACGTAGAGGCGTATTATAGTATTACGTGATGCGATATTAGATGACGAATAATAATAAAGTTCTGTGTTGTTCCTTTGATACAAGAGTTGTTCTATATAGAGGAACCGAAACTTAGGCGGCAACTGAATCCTTGGCATGCCATGTAATGGAAGGCGGTTGGGAAAGAGATTGGAATTCGCGTGGAAGATTGCTTGCAGATTTCGTCTTTCCCTTTCAAACTTGCAGGATACCCTGATAAATAATTATGAAGTCGTTCTGATTTTGGATGTTCATAATCTGTTACACGTTACAATAATATTGGTGAACTCTTAACAGAAAGATTATAGAAACGGACTCGGGGTCTCCAGTTAACGATTATCTTAGTTTGGTGTACTTTGACCGGTCAAAACGCGGAAGAATAAAGAGGAGGGCTCGATTGAAAGCAATATTAAAGTTATACCGACCTAATGTGTTTGCTGATGTTGAGTTTACAGCAATTTGTTTAACAAATTTACTGCTTTACATCAGTATATGTTTTTGTTGGTCACTTGCTCTAAGTTATTTCTTAGAAAGAGAGAAGCAAAAAAATCTTAGGAAATTTTTAGGAAGTTTCCCAAAAGCTTTTTTATACAGAGACACCATGAAAAGGTTCTCTATGGATATGAATTCCTTTCGCATGAAAGATCATTTGGTAATTACAACAATCACAAGCGTGGTTTGAAAAATAATTAGTGTTTTCTAAGGCAATAAAAGATTTTGTATGCATTTTATCATTTTTCTCTAAATTTATATTACGTATTTAATTTATAAACATGTATTTTTAATTTTGAGTTTTAAATATTTTGCAGGCAATTTGCTAGTACCGTTACATTTGCTACCGTAATTTAAAAACAATTATCATGACAAAGATTAGAATCATATTCTCAACGAATTTTCTGATGAAAGTGCAAAAAGCGAGGACGTCTTTGATTTTTTAGGCATATGAGTTGAAGTGAGTGAAAGGACATAAAAAGGATAACAAAATTTCTAGGCATGGATCCACCTATGACCTGTGACCTTTGCCCCGGCAACCCTGCAATGCTATTGAACTTGTCAGGCAAAGGTTCTTTCAAAATGCCGCAATGACA